AGACAGCCAGGAGAGCGAGGAGAGACAGCCAGGAGCGAGAGAGTGAGGTATTTTTTTTTGTTGGTAGATCTCATGTAGCTCGTCATTTGAAAAGTAGATCTTAACACAAAAATTGTGGGCACCCCTGCTTTACACCATCCACTGCAGAGATGACTTCTTTTCACCAGAGAACATTAATTGTAAAGTATAATAATCCGGACAAAAGCTGAAAGTCCCCGATTTGTAAAGATATGAAGCAGGAGTGAAGATTTAGGAAGAGTCAGTTAGTGTTTTAATTCAAAGATACAAATCAGAAGAATCAAACTGCTGACAAAAAGCGGAGAGACAAGTCTGGATTTAACCGGCAAGATTTTATTTTAAAAAGTACAGAAGTTTCACAAAAACTACGAAAAATATTACAAGTCTGAAAGCCCTTATTGTACATAAAAAAGAAAAGTGAACACAAGTGTGTTGTTCAAATTCATTAAGAAAGATATAAAAAGCGATAATAGTGCTGGACCAGACCTTCTGAAGGAGGCCCCCCTTTATAAAGGGCCAGCTCCGCTGTGCCACAACCGCCACAACTACCTTTCTGATCAGGGGTATTAAAGGCGGATCTCTGTGTCAGATATGTATTGATTCAAATTCATCATCGCATTATACCAGATTAGGTCATTGTAGGTTTTGCTTTGGGATGTCAGCAGTCAGATATGTAGGGAAAATATGTCTTGGCCTATTTCAACACTTTGAAAAACTACAACAATGGAAATGAAAAGCTGTAACAGGTATACATGTTAGGAATGAAAACAGTGGAATCATTAGACAAAAAACAAACAATTCCAACTAAATTAGAACACTTGTATTGAAACGGTCCATCATGTTACAGAATAAATCCTCAAATTCATTCACAGTGTACTCAGACGTGGTAGTTTGGACCCATCACTTCAATAGAAGACAAAGTAGGGAATTGGAACCTTTTTCCTAGTACAGCTCATTACAAAATTATGAACTTTAAAGATTCCTGAGAAGACCTCCACTCTAGTGCAGCCGATACCCCCCATAGCCACCGCCATTCTAGTTCATAAATAAGACATACCAACCCATGATTTCCTCATAGATTCAAAGATACCGGGACGGGGGATTGGGTGATTGGAGTGGAAGGTGGCTGCTGACTGGTTGGTGTGGATTATGCTGCAGCAACAGAAAACTCTTTAGGAACCACAAAACTAAATAAATGTGCACTGTGTGATCTTAAATAAGTGGATTTTAAACACAGTGCACGTATCCTTTTTGTCCATCACCAGATGCCCCACCAGATCCGTATTTACCAAGATCCAAGGGCCACAATTCCACTATTGTATACATCCAGCAACACAATGCTCCCTCTGCTGGCTGTACCTGCACATTACAGCCCCATAGACTTTCATGGATTTGTCTACCAGCTGGGAGATGGCCATGGTCAGGAGAGGGAGACTTGCTGCGCAGGAAGTCAGCAGCAGGGCAGTGGCCCTCTAATCTCAGTACGCATAGATCTGCAGAGGGCGAGGGTTAGATCACTTAGGTAAGGGGAGGAGGGCAACACAATTGCATTTTGTCTAAAGTTCCTATTTCTCTTTAAAGACATACTGTGACTTTGCACATTCAGTGTCTGCAGATAGTCGCAGCCCACCAGCCCCAGGCAGTTGTAGCCATGTCAAGCCACCTCCATGCATTGCTTGAGGGCTATCTAACAAAGGGTGGCTTCTGGGTATGAGAGAGGACGTTACCTCTCATGTGACAATCTTCCACCAATCACCAGGCCGAAACACTAACATGTGTGGGGAAAGGAAGTGGGGGCAATCTGATGTGTGACATCATCCCCTTGTCTCAGCTCTATCACCAGAGGTTACACTGGCTGGGATACTGAAGTAGGGAGGCAGCAAAGGAGAGAGAGTAAGCAATAAAGCCTGAGGTGGGGGGGAGGGGGCAATCAGGGTAAAGTGACAGCATCTCTAAAAAAAAATGACCCAACACCCTTTAAATTAAACGAGGAGTGACAAATTTGTTTCTAGAGAACATAATTTAATAAGGTTTTCTATACTTACAATGTTTTAGGAAGCATTTTGGATAAAGATAAAAAAATGAGGGGAGGAAAAGTTTACCCCCATACTCACAACTGCCCTCCTGTCTGGTAATCTCACTGAATGGCCCTTCAGGCGGACTCTCACGGGACTCCCTGAAGGGCTGACGATAGACATTCTTGCCAAGTACAGCAGCTTACAACATCCTTTTTTTACAAGTAGTATTGATTGCTCTTTACAGAACTTTAGTTTTATGGGTCCTTTAAAACACTAGCCTGTAATGAACTGATCGGCGTCATGAGTACAGTGCAGCAAGTGACTTTTATATAGCAGTGATGGAGCGTGTCAATATGAAGCAGGAAGATACAGCGAGCTCATCGTCATACTCAGGTTCATCAGCCATTCATGAGAGAATACACACCGCCTTCTCTAATGCTTTGCACGGTCATACCGCATTGTGCCTCATTCACCCGAGTACGAGGATGGCTATGACATAGAAACATTGAATCATTCAGCGTAGTTAGAAAGGTCAGGTGACATGAAAAGTAAGTGCCTTCACATTCAAAGCACCTTCAGAAAGATAAATGTAGGCACACGCGTCTTCAGAGATACATTCCTGCAAAAGGGTTTCCATTTTTTTTTTAAAAGGCACCATCGGGGCGATCTGGAGCAGATGTGAGAATGGGTTTTGTACTGCACACGTCCCTATGACAGCAAGACTATCCAAGGATGAAACGTAAACCAACAATTCCAATGGCACTTTGGTAATCCTCACCGATACCACAGTCCAAGACTCGCTCTGATAGACTAACATTCAAAGAGTAAACCGGAATTAAAGAAACCCTCCTCCTAGAACCATTTTCTCATTTCTGGAATGAGAGGGGGGAATCCATGCCACATCTTTACAGACCCCTTGGAACCCTGGCAGAGAGAACTTTGCTTGGCTTATTACTGCAATTTACTATACTATATTCTGATGCAGTGCTCACTATATATAGTAGACGACACAGCACTCCCGTGTCATTTGTCTTCTAGTGAACACTCCACTGGAGGACATATTGCATTTTCTTAAAGGGGAAACTAAGGGTTTTGGGTACATTTCATTTGTTTAGAGTTCATAGGTTTTTTGTTTTTACTGAAATGTATCTGAATTTACATCTATAAACAGATGTTCCCAGAGCACTATGGGTAATCTACAGACAGAACAGCTAGTTTTGCATGTTCTTTTGTCTGATAGAAGCCTCAGATTTGGCCATTTCATAAGGGAAGAGTCACTTCTGTGATGACTAAGGCCTCATTCACACGAGAAGAAGCCGGCATGTACAGCTCCGTGCACGGCCGTATTGGGCAGCTCCCAAGGAGGACAGGTGCTGCGTGTGATTAGTACGCAGCCCGTCCTTCTCTATGGAAGTACGCGGCCGTACACCACCCTACGCTCACCCGCCCTTCACGTCCGTACTCGTACGCCAACAGGATGGATCCTGTCTGCGCCCGAGCCATGACACTCGCACCCGTACGGACCTGCACTTTGGCTGAGCGTAGGACGGCGTACGGCCACGTACTCCCATAGAGAGGGACAGGGGCTGCGTGCTAATCACATGCAGCACCTGTCCTTCCTGGGAGCTGCCCGATACGGCCCGCGCATGCAGCACGGAGCTGTACGTACCGGCCTTTCCTCGTGTGAATGCGGCTTCTTTCAGCACAGCTGAAAGGTAATTGTGCTAATGGCGTTAATAGGAGACTAGAGCTCCACCTGCTGGCTAGATAATGGACTACATAATATTAATACACAATATTTCAGGTTTAGCTGCTTTAAAAGCAATGCTGTCACCAAGACAACAGCCCCCTATAAAAGAAGACTTTCTATACTTCGTAGTTCCACACACCTATTCTTTTCACTCTTGAAGAGCTACCACTGAAGAATTTTCTGGGTGTATTGAAAGCCTGGTCCGCCTCTGTGTCCTGTGGTTTTCACCTATCAGTTGGTTTGTCACTACTGTGTCCTGTAGTGCTGTAGGGGCAAGCGGATGGAAATATTGTGCAAAGGGAGACCAGGCCCTGAGGTGTGTCTGGATATAGCAGATTTGGTAGTGATAGCTCTTCAACAGAACAAAAGTCATGGTGGCGGGTCATGGGACCAGTTTTTGTTTTTTTTTTGTGAAAAAAAAAGGTAATTTTTTTAGTCCAGCACATAACTGTAGAAAATATAAAACCTACATTCCATTTAAGAACGAATGACAATCCAAGCCTTAAGGTGGAGGAGATGTCCCAGCCAGGGTCCCAGACAGCAGCCAATATTAAGGCGAGGGCAAAGCAAAGTGCAGATACATAGAGGGCAATCAGATCCATATCCCAGCGTCCAAACAAGTATTTCAACCCAACATGGCTATAAATAGGCCTGCAAGCACAAATGCTACTCAGGATGGATTGCCCCCATACATGGCCAGCTGGATTAGTATACAGACCCGTCCAAACATGGATTTTTAGTTTGGCTACGTGGTCTCTAAAAAAAAAAACACACTTGTCCTCTCCTGAGAGCTGGTTCCATCACAAATCTCTCCTAGTCACTCCTGAAATGCACTTGAGACAATCTTGAAACAGAATGTTTGCGAGATGGCCAAAAAGGTACCATATGCAGTTGTCAAGAGATCACCTGCACTTACTTCAAGGGACAACAGTTGCTATCAATTGTGCAAGCTACTCTAACTCAAATGTAAATGGGTTCATGCCTGGATGTCTGCTACGCCACACATAGATTGTTCATTATGCACTACTGATTAGTAACGAAACAAAGTAATAAATATAAAAAAAACACAATACAAAGACTGAAGCATTGCCTGACATTCCTGCACTGATGCATGCCATAAATCAATGACTTCCCTAAAAAGCTATACAAGAGTGCCTAATACTTGACTGGTACCTTCCGCAAGAAAACTGAAATATGGGGACATGCCAACATCTTCTGCACTTCAGCTTGTGTTTTATACCCTCACCCCCTATAAAAATGGTTAAAAAAACAAAAACTGATGGATTTTCAACCTTAAATATATAAATTTGCTTGTTATAGGACTAAGCACATACGTGGAACATGACCGCTGTGCAGAACCAGATATGTAACTGAATGTACAGGTGACCTCAGCCAGTGGTGAATCCTTACGGAATGTGCGGGGAAGGAACTAAACCAAGAAAGAGTCTTATGAATGTGGTGCCACCTGCGAAGAAAGGGCACACAAAGAACCTTTCACACTATAGAGCCATCCTTGCACTGTGCTGGAATCATGACAGCAATGGCCCCCATTCTGCTAAGATTTGGACCCGCTACCTTGGGTGCTGTGAAGCTTGGATTGTGGCTTGGTACACGCTCGTGCTCTTCTCTCAGTACACGCTCGTGCTCTTCTCTCGGTACCTGGTTGTACTGGGCCTTTGAATAGCCGTCCATGTTTGAGGGAGACAAGGATCCCAATGAGGAGTGATTGCTTCCTATGTAGCTCCGAGCTGTGGAAGTGCGGCTTTTAGGTGGCGCAACGTCCTCTCTGGAAGAGTAAAATGCATTGAAGGCACATTAAAACAAATAGACAAAGTACCAACATCTGTGTGAAAATAAAATGTTACATTTCAGCAGCTTATTGCTCATTTGCTATGTTAGGAAAACGGAGAAAGCCATCAGCATGAATTGAAACGAAAAACCACAATAAAATCTTCATTATAAAGCAGAATTCCAGGCAGTCAAATACACAATTGAGATCCATATGATTATACAAGATTTATATAGCGCCAATGGTTCGCACAGCGTCTTACAATAAATGTTTATACACTGTTCCATGTGTTACCTGGCATGAAGGGGGGCCCCTAACTCCTACCCTGCAAAAAAACAAACAAAAAAAACCTGTCTAACCTCTAAGACTAAAAACAGAAGTTTTAGATACACGTCTTCTGCAGAATATGTGAAAGCCACACTGCCCCTCTGTGTAGTGTGGTCCTAACTCTAACCTATGAGAGTCTCCATCGTGGAGCACATGTAGCAAAAGATAAAATTGGGTGCAGGTTCACCAGGAGGCAGCCCAACCTCCTTAAAAGGCAAAGGGACACAGGTTGGGCTGCCTTGCACCTTGCTTTTTAAGCTGGTTAGGAGTTGGAGTGCGTTTGCCATGTGTTTTGCCTGAGCGATTTGTTGCAGTGGCACACTAGGGGTCTCAGCTGCCATTGTGATGTGCGGGGTCCCTTGTGTGTCCCTGTGCCTTTAAGGAGGTTGGGCTGCCTCCTGGAGAGCCTGCATCCAATTTTATCTTTTGCTGCATGTGCTCCAAGATGGATACTCTCATAGGTTAGAGTTAGGACCACACTACACAGAGGTGCCTTGACGGGGCAGTGCGGCTTTCACATTCTGCAGAAGACGTGCATCTAAAACCTCTGCTTTTAACCTTAGCAGACAGGTTGTTTTTTTGGAATGCTGGCTGGTGAGCGTGCTGGGAAACTTTTTGCTGTTGTACTATATAGAGCCCTTCCATGTGCACCTTGCTTTAAAGCTGGTTATGAGTTGATGAGTGCGTTTGCCATTTGTTTTGCTTGACTAACCCCCCACCCTCCCCCATAATATATACTACTTGGTAGCTCAGTCATGTAGGCCATACTGGATTCCTCATATATTTCCCCATGTACTAGTCAATTCTAACTACATGAATGCTTTCTGTAATGCTAAAATAATAAAACAGATTTGTCTTATTGAACATAAGAGTTAAAAAAAACATTTCCCCACCTTATTTCATGTTGGATTTCCTTCTCATATTTTTTCTCTTTTTGTTTCCTGCAGCAACAGAAGATCAAAATGCCCAGAATGATAAGGAAGAGTAATGTCCCAATAATAGCTCCAGCGATGATCCCAGCTGTGTTTGCAGCTAAACAGGGGAAACAAATCAACATTTGTACAATTGTTATCCCATGTCAGTCTTCTACATTAGGTTACAGTAAAAAGGCAATTATAGGACATTTCCTACCAAGGTCAAAAATAAGTACATTTCCGTCACCTGCCCAGTTACACAGAGTGACTCAAAACAAACAAATATGAATTTTGGTAGTGAATGGAGGCTCTCATAGTAAATGTGAATGACATTTTTACAGTCAGGAGGTAAGTAATGTGAATGGTGGGGTATTTTCATGGTGGAGAATTGAATGTATGCCTATGAACCACCTGTCAGAGAAAGTCATGGGGCCCTCTGACAGGAACCAAAGTCCGTTTCTTGCCTCTGTCTGGGCTTTAATATAAATAGTGTGGTTTGACTTCCATCATCACTAAATCACAGACTCAAATAACATGAAGGGGTTAAAAAACAAGGAACTCATGGGCCACACATGCAGTGCATGGAAAGACACCAACATTGTCCATTCTATGAAGACAACACCAACGGAATACTTACGAGGAACAACATTGAGGATGACCAGGCATTCGTCAGTGCCGACTCGGTTTCGGGATGTACATCTGTAGGTGCCACTAAACTCCTGAGAAGCATTTTTTACAGAGAGAACACTTCCTGATGAATCTAAGCAAAGCAAAGTTGAACAGAGTTAAGAACACAGGAGGCTAAAAAGGTACACGTCATATAGAATCTCATTTACCAAAGTGTCCCAAAACCAGAACCATCTGTGTTTCCACAAAGACGCATTCTTCCCTTAAACTAAACTTGTCACAAGTCTGCACAATTTTAAAAGCACTTATGATGAAAAAAAATACTTAGCCAGAGGTGATCTTCAGCGATACCACGGCAAAGCATTTCCAACATACTATTCTGCAAAATGCACCTGTGCCCAGACTTTGCGCAATAAATGATTTACAATTTTTAACAAATGGCCTCACCTTACCGCCCCAGCTGCATGTACTATGAAGTAGGGCTGCAACACCTAATCGACAAAGTCGATTATAATTGATGATTGAAAAAGTTGTCAACATTTTCAATCATCGATTAATCGGCTTTTTCAATTAGTTGGCCCTGTTCACGGCTCCACACACGCCGCTAGCCGCTGCCAGACCCGCCAGCATCCACGTTCCACATGCCGCACCTCCTCCCCGCCTCACGCTCACCGCCCGCATCCACGATCGGCACAGGGACGCCGGGGAGAAGTAGCAAGGAGGAGCAGGCGTGGGGTGATCACAGCCCCCGATAGACAGGCCCGATCTCAGAAGCAAATTGCTGGAAGACTGCTCAGGTAAGCCTGCACTTCCCTCCCCCCACATGGTGCTCTATAAATGTATTGCTGGGATTTGTATTCCTCTAAAGCCGATGGTACATTGTGCTGTATATTATACAGAGCAATATACCATCAGCTATAGAGGAATACAAATCCCAGCAATACATTCTACATTATGTAGAATGTATTGCTAGGATTTGTTGTACTTCTCTATAGCTGGTGGTATTCTGCATTGCGCTGTATAGAGGAATACAAATCTCAGCAATAATACATTATACGGCGCAATGCAGAATACCACCAGCTATAGAGGACTACAAAACCCAGCAATAGTACATTACACAGCACAATGCAGAATACCGCCAGCTATAATGTACTATTGCTGGGATTTGTTGTACTCTTCTATAGCTGGTGGTATTCTGCATTCATTGCTGTATAATTTTACACTTTCAATTTCACTATATTGCACACCACACTTTTTTTTTTTTTTACTTCCACCGCTACAAGCTTGCTCCTGTGATGGACTACAACCTCAATACAAACTAGTAGTCCATCACTGGAGCCATTTTTTAAATGTAATCCCGATTAACCGGTTAATCGAACTTAATAAATCAACTAACTATTCGATTTTGAAAATAATCGTTAGCTGCAGCCCTACTGTAAAGCAATTCATTTAAAGAATCCTCAAAAGACAACAACCACCACCCTGAAGTGGGGTTTTAGTCAATATCAAACAGCTTAGGAACATCTGCTGTGCGTTTACAATAGAGGGCTGGCAGGCTGACTAGATCTGCTGTCATAGAAAGAAGCTGCACCTCTGTTCTGAACTTTGAAAATGTAATTTCTCCAGAAAGCATATCGCTGCAGAGGCGAATTGTAAAGTGCGTTTACTGCTTGTTCGGAATATGTAAATCATTTGATATGCTAAGTCTAGGCACAGGTTTGCTTTAAGACCGACCCCCTTCCCAATTCATTAGCCAATAAGACCTACCCCCTTCCCAATAATGCCTTGGTTCTCAACTGGTGGGTCGTGACCCTGTGTTCAGTGGGTCACCAGCCTCCCCATTGCACAGCACTGCCAGTTCTCACTCCAAGCAGCCATTCAAAATATGCTGCCCAGCGCCGAATGTCAGCTTGGGATGGGGCTATGGCCGAGAGGGAGCTCCATCCATACTTGCATTGCTTACAGCTCCCTCACGTGTCCTGTAGAGGTGCCTGGACCGGCGTGATGACACTTTCTGGCTCCCAGCACCTCTACAGGGCACGCAAGGGAGCAATGTACATATGGATGGAGCTCCCTCACAGCACAGCAGCCCACACTTGACCCCAGGCTGAGCATCCAATCCAGTTCTCGTAAGATAGGGAGACTGGGTGGATGCCCTCAGACAATTATTTACAAAATACATTTGTAAATAATTAATGTGAGTGTGTTAGATTGTGTCCGCGGTTGTGTGCGTCTGTCAGTGTTTTTAGGGTCCGTTCACACTAGTACAGTGTAGTAGTCGCACAGACCTGTGTGATTAACGCACTGTACCGCGCAAAAATCGCACCTACCGCAAATTCTGGTGTGGGAGGTGTGTTGCATTTAAATGGCACCCCAACCGCATCTCCCACCCACAGTTCGATCGCACGCATCGGAAAGTGCAGTACCGCGTGTTCTTTTGTGGTGCAACTTGGGTCATAGATGAATGACCACGGTCAAATGTGGGTCCTGAGGTTACACAGGTTGAGAACCACTGCTTTAATGCGATCAGCAGCACCAAGGTCCAGGAGAGGCACAGAAGGTGTAGAGGAGCAGGACCAAACACCAATAATTAAAATTGGGTTTCACCGAAAGTAGCGTCTTTCGGTGAAGCATCGTGATAAATCTGCATGAATCATCGTGATAAATCTGCATTTGGAGAAATTGATTGCTCACTAGTATATCTGTAAAACATAAATCAAGGGAACGAGGCTTGCTGTATTAATCTTTAAGGCAGCAAGCCCAGTTGCCTGGATTTATTTTTTACAGATATACCATGACCTGGATAAGTGTGAACCTTCACAGACAAGATTGGTCACTAGGGTCAACATACACAGCCAGAGTAAATGAGTTCTGCAATGTTTCGACGATAGGCTGCAGCATTACAGCACTGGCGATGTGACAGAAGAGAGAATAGTATCATACCAGCTGTTGCTGTAGGTGGAAGCTTCTCCATCCCAGTGATCTTCTGCCAGGAGTAGGCAAGTGGAGCAGATCCCTCTTTGGTGTTACATTTTAGGGCAAGATCGTTTCCAATCTCCTGCTTTCCTTCAATGAAGCACCTGGTCTTTCCTGGCATAGCTGTATGAAGAGACAATAGATTATTAAGTATCCTACGCTTGTAACTCCCAAATGCCTTTAACATGCAAATCCCTCTATTCATCCACTTCAGACCCCACTCCCCCCACATATTTAATGGATTATAACCACCACCATTGTTATGCTGCTGTTAGCACCCTTCTCATCTGTGAAAGGACTTACTATACACAGTCAGAGGCATCTTCATGTTCTTGGAGCCAGGGAGCTTCTTTACTTTGCACTGATACGTCCCAGTGTCTGATTCCTGCAGGTTAATGATCTCTATGGAGCCGTCCCCTTCTCTGGGGTCATTAGATGCGAACTGCACTCGATCTTTCAGTGGCCCAGTATGATGGTACACTACATCCCTATTGTAATTAATGATCTGTTCAAAGACAGGAATAGAGCAAAATCATTTACTCATCATTTTTACTGAAGTCTGGAAATTTAGTCAGTCACATTACTAACATTTTACCAAACCATAACCAATCGGTCCCCCACACACCCCGTGTCCCCCTCCACAGGTCACACATGAGTGCATAATACCAGTCTTAGTTTCAAGTAGCAATATGCCCTTATAAAAACTAGATGACCCATGCGTTCTCGCTTTTTCCATGCTCTATTTTTATTACTTTTTATGTTTTATTTTTATTCATTTTCTATGTTCCATTTTTACTTCTATTTTTATCTTCTTCTTAAATTCCACTTTTTACCAATTCCTTATGTTATTAAATATTTTTAAAAAAATGTTTTATTGGTTCCCCAAAACGGACCACCCTTAATAAATGCTCCTGTTCAGCAGCCCCGTTTCCAGTTTTTAATAAAATTACCATGTGCAACTAGAGATTTAGCATAATACATACACACTACCAATCCTTTAAATAAATGGCCAGTCCACTCTTAATATCATGTACAGTTAAACAACTAATCTTGAACTGATTGTTTTTCATGATACTTTTAATGCCTTTTGAAAAGAACCACCCATGATTTTTATGCCCATGTTTCGTTCTAATAGTAACAGAACATTTGTTTTTCGTTCCAACTGCATCTCCATGATTCCCCAAAATGTCCAACCTGTCCAGTGTATTCCAAGCACATATCGAACATCTATACACATGCCGAGGCTTAACAGCTTCTATTTTGCGGCTCCGCCGCCTACTGCCCCTAAGCTCCGCCCAGCTGTCATTTAAAATCGGCGGATTCCTGCCGCCGCTATACGGCTCTTTGAGCTTGAGAAAGAGGTGTCATTCCTCGAAACGCGTTGCTCTTGACCTTCACCCACGACAGTCACTGACCCGACCATTTGTCACCCTGCTGACTTCCCTGCCGGCTCCCTTCTATTGCCGTTATTACGGCTCGGGCACACCGCTAAGCATCGGTCTACACAGACTGAGCCGCACCATCCACAGCTGCGGCCACATCAGCACAGCCAGACTCCATTCTTGTACACTGCTCAAATCTCTCATTGCAGTGTCAGGAAGACGGACCAAATCCTTGTTCTGTCACCTTCCCCCCGTCCACCTTCCTCCTCTCTCTCCCCCTTGGGACAAGCAGCCTCAGGCAACATATCAGCCGCCATTTAACATACACTTTGGACATCCTGATCCTCCTGACAGGCCGGTTCACATCTGGTTCCCAGACCCACACAAGTAAGTGCATTATACATATACAGGTGAAACTTGATTAGAATATCGTGCAAAGTTCATTTATTTCACGAATGCAACTTAAAAGGTGAAACTAATATGAGATAGACTCATTACATGCAAATCAAGATAATTTGTCATAATTGTGATGATTATGGCTTACAGCTCATGAAAACCCCAAGAACCCCAAATCCACAACCTCAAAAAAGTAGATTACATGCAATCAATAAAACAAGGATTGTACATAGAACAATATCGGATCTCTGAAAAGTACAAGCATGCATATGTACTCAGTACTTGGTTTGGGCCCCTTTTGCAGCACTTACTGCAATTACTTTTGCACGATATTCTAATTATTTGAGTTTCACTTGTATGTTTTTCCTGTCACCTTCCCTGATATGTTCGGTCCAGTCAGTCAGCTGACCTAGTTTTGCACCCTCTTGTTTTTCGTTTTGATTACTAACATTTTGAGAGCCTGCATTAGGAAAAATGATTCTCCAGTGCATTCGCACCCAGCCACAGATAAGTGTTTTGGGCAAGAAGGGGTTGGGATGAATCGGAAGTAGTTGTTTTGGAAGTAAAGTATACTCACAGGGTCCCTAGTAATGATGAGCAAGTGTAGATCACAGAGCACATTGTGTGGTTCAGAGGCTCAGTGCAGCTCTGAAGCCGGTTCATTTTTTTCATATTCCAAATAGGAAGTGAAGGAATGTCTAATGGAATTTAACCCTTCATTACTCTGTCACAGAACACATAATAGGAAGAGATAGTAAACCTCTCTTAAAAAGGAGAACTATGAGGCAAGTGAAAATCACTCAGCCTCATAGTTCTAGCCGACCTGTGACAATGAAACTGTCACACGTCGGCTCAATAGATCGGGAAGTGAGCGAACACATACCGGCATTCGCTCACCTCTCGATCCTGTCCCCGAAGAGAGCCGTGACCGTCACTCACGGCTCCCTGCAGGGATTTCCCCCTGTCCAATCCTCCAGTGCTGACTGGCGGAATGGATGGGGGAGGGGGCGGGTACAGCTGGCTCTGCCTCTAGATAGGCAGAGCCAGCTGTCAATCATGCAGCTGGGTGGATCGCGATAGTGATGTCGGGATCCTTCCTGGCGTCTCAGTATACCGCAAGCTGTAGCTCGCGATATACTGAGCTTTGGGTGACGGGAGGACGCTAGTTTGTGTCCTCCCGTTACCCTTAGGAGAACTATGGGGAAAAGCCCTGACACCATAGTTCTCCTTTAAGTGAGCAAAATCTCCTCTTAGACAGTGGTCACTGGACCAAGTGTCCCCAATGAAGAGTTTCCCCTCTGTTCCTGTTCTGTGATGAATTAAAGGTTGTGGATTTCTCCCCTACTCTCTCTACAGTCCCAGAGACGGTAGTCATCAGGATAAATAGAGAAGGTTAATCTCCCTAATGGTAACACCAACAATAAAAACCTGATACAGGTCCCAACCCCTTCCCCCCTATCTAAAACTACTCCTGTATCTCTTATGGTGAGATCTCGCTACCTGATTTCCAGCTCCTGCCTTCAACCACATAAAGCAAGAAAGTCTCGCTTCTCACACACATACTTTGCAATATAAAATATACAAGTCCAGCAGCAAGGCCGACGCTCAACAGATTTGCCAGGTGGACGGAGTTGGGAAATCCTTTCACTCTTGAGGGTCCGAGAGAGTATAATTAGTCAGAGGAAAAAAAAAACGTTTCAGCTTTAGACTTCAATGTATCGGTAAAGTCCAAAACCCATAATAGCAATCCAACACATTCCCTAAATGTGCCTTGTTCTTATTTATACACAACCATTACTATGTCACTGATTGGGGAAAAAGAGGGGGCCTAAGTTTTATGGGCTGGGGATGGTGACTAAAACAAAGTCCGGTGGCTTCTGCTGACGTCACAGATCCCAGGAGCTCTTTCGCTCCATGGAAACGAAGGTCATTCAAGGCAGGGCGGGGTGATGCAAGCAAGAATCTGACCATGGGAATACAGGCAAGCAATGTGTCGGCACGCCTTCCAGAATGGGTCAAGAAGCAAGCAGGGACGCATTCTGACCACGCTAGCACCAAGCTCCTTTTTTTCGTGATTAGCATGGTCAGAAGCATACAGGAAAGCCTTTTTGATCAATTGGAACTTGCAGGATCAAGATACTAATATACATTATATAATATGATGGGCAAAGGACAGTAGCCAAAATGTTATTTGCATTGTATTATAAAGGGTAACAAACTTAAGTTACATTTCAACTATAATTGTTCTGCATGAAAGGAAACCTGTAACAAGAAAAGTATGTAGGCTGTTATTGTGTCCCTGATAACTATAGCAGTCTGAATGTCATGATAATCCCAAGGCTGCTAAATATGTGAACCACTGACAATAGACGAATATGCAGATCAAGTCAAATCAAGGTCCATTTCTTATCAAGATCAACAATGGTAGCCTATGTATTGCAGTCATGGCATAACCCGTAATGGAAACACTGTTTAAGGGCCGTCTTTGTTGCTGCTAAAGCAAAATCTACTCATTACTGATCATTTTTGGGTGGACAATGGGTTCATTCACTCTCTGACTAATTATACTCTCTCGGACCCTCAAGAGTGAAAGGATTTCCCAACTCCGTCCACCTGGCAAATCTGTTGAGCGTCGGCCTTGCTGCTGGACTTGTATATTTTATATTGCAAAGTATGTGTGTGAGAAGCGAGACTTTCTTGCTTTATGTGGTTGAAGGCAGGAGCTGGAAATCAGGTAGCGAGATCTCACCATAAGAGATACAGGAAAAGGGTGGGTGCTTCAACTCCCTGGCATTCATCCAAAACTGGAAAATCAATCCTGGCTGGGCTTGAAACAGAATGGACAAATAAATCAAGGACAGATTTACGATACATAAAAGCTTTGATACCATTTGCAGACATACATTTTAGTGAATTATCAGCCGAATAACCATCTGAGATAAAGCTTTTCTCATGGTTAAAGGATTTTACTTTCCATCTTGATGAGAGCTCTCTAGTCCACCTCTCACCACCCTAGCTGACCAACGATAAGTCAGGCTACAAAGAAAATACTGATAATATGCAGAAGATGTCCACTTCTTGTAAAATAAATTTCCAGCGTATATCATGACATTTCAAAACTACACCCGTTTACAAAAAATATGTTGTAATGCATTTGTTAACTTAAAGGGTTATAAAACCCTCGCAAATTTCTCGGGCGGCGGCAAGCGCAGTTCAGGCCGGGAGACGAGGCGAGACACAAAGTATATGGAGCAGCGTACACCCGAACAGACACCATGGGACATGAGAGGAGGAGGATAGAGGAGTCAGCGCTGGATCTGAGACCCGCACCAGCGCTGGAGGGACAGCTAAAAACTACAGGAAAGAAGATCGGATTAAGAGGCATCATTTAAGGCAAGTCCTTACTTTACCAAAGGGTTTAGTAACTATTGGTCTTCTTAGTTGTACATCATAGTTGTCTGGCTTTGCATTGCTTTAATACTAAAACTCAGAAAAATCAAGTCACTGTTGAAATCAGCCAGACTACTAGCATTTTAAAAATGTATGTGGGGCTCCAAAGATAAAACCACCATGCAGACAATCCAGGTTGTGACCATGACCAAGAAGCTGCACAGCCACTTATCTAAAAAAATCCCTGAGGTATTTGAAGTCTGCAAGCATCATGTAGAATTCACCACTGGATTGGAATAAGTTAACCACCGGAATCCACTGTTCTGTCCATCTTGAA